CTCTTAATAGTAGCTCCTGAACTTTTATAACTCTTTTCTCTGGCATGCTCCACTTCAAATGCTGTGAAGCCCTCAGCCACTCTCAATGCCTCCTTGGCCATCCTTGGTAAGTGCCGACATAGCCATAGTTGTGTTTTGTCACCCAAATCTTTTATGAATCGTTCTAACAAAATTTGGTCAGGAAGAGACACCAGATCTACCTTTTCCAGGGGTACCCATTTGTCCAGGAGGTCCTTTAAAAGTTGCAAGAGATTCCTGGGTTTACAGTCCTCCTTCCCCTTCCGGGCTCAGAATAACTTTGGATAATACTTGGGTGTGAGCTCCAGACAGTGCAATATTGCCACTTTTACCTTTTCATAATCGTAGGCATCTTCCCTTGGGAGAGCCCCATGCCTTGCCCACGACAAGGGATCTAAGCTAGTTTGCCCACTGCAACCTGTCGAGCCCCATTTGTATAACTGTACGTTCAAACGATCTAATGTAAGCTTCAGCATCCTCCATGTGTCATTCTGTGCATTCGGAATGTCGTCCAGTTCCTTTGCATCCATTCATATTGTTGTAATGCCTGCTGCTGTTGGACTTATAATACTTTTGTCACTGCGTGTAATGTTTAACCTAATAATTCAATCTAAGGTGTTATATTAACTTCCATGTCAGCCTCCAGGGTTACCCCTTCTTTCGGTTTTCTGGCCAATGCACCAATTTGAAACTTCCCATGCCTTTCATCTGTGCGTTGAGTCTGTGTGGATTTTTCTGGCTTCGCCATCGCTTTAAGGAAGGAACAGGCTTGTTAATGGAATGTACCTTGGTTGGTACCCCAGGGGGTCTTTCCTGCCATGATTTGCTAGAAAATTAATTTTGATAGGGAGGAAGATGGTCTGTCCTGTCCCTCCTGGTAGCTTCCTTCAGTTGTTCTGGTTGTGCTTCCTGCTCGGGGCTCTTTCTCCCCTGCACCCCACCTAACACCAACCTAAGATGGTGTTGCCTGGGCCACCAGAGTTAGTATTATGCACCCTTTGGTGTCGTGGCCCTTTGGATTTATTATGGTGTGACTGGGACATTTATTTGGCCTGTTGTTCTCTGCTGCACCTTGCCTTATTCATGCATCTTGTCAGTCCCAGCCTGTCATGTTCCCTGGCGTCTCACTCTTGACTTGAGTATTGTACCTGCCGTGGGTTGGTTTTCCGCTGGTCCATTCTCTATCTGGTTCTGCGGAGATCCAGTCTGTGCTGTGGATCTCCAATGTCCATGGAGTATCCTGTGGCAAGCTATGGAGTTGTTTCTGGCTTTGACTCTTCAAAAAATCCCCTCCTGGGGTATCTACCACATCCCTGAACTGAGACTGCCTTCAGCATCTGGCCCCTCCAGGCCAGTTGAGAACCTCGCTTTCGGTCCTCCCTGTTGATTTCCTGCCGGGCCTTTTATCCCGGCTTCGAGGTTCTGGGCGGCAAATTAGCCCTAGCACACTGTTATGAAACATGCCCATACCAACGCAGGAGCCAATCCTGGCTCCTTCCAACTTGGCAGGGTTTTTTTCCTTCTTTCTTCACTGCGGCGGACGGAAGCACCGTGTTTTCACTTCTTCTGTGCTACCGTTCCAGCATGACGTCCCGCTGGCTCCTCTCCTTGTCGGGTGGAGGTAAGTCTTTTCTAAATCATATAAGTATGAAGAAGTCTGATAATAGTAGCAAATTTTGGCAGGCATCCAGATCTCAGCAGGATCTTCCATAGGGCCTCTCTGTTGATCAAATTAAAGGCTTTTAGTCAGGTCAGTGAAGATGTTGCTCACATGTTGCTTGTGATGCCTCTCCTGCAACTGTCTAGCAGCAACAAAGATCATATCTATTGTACCTGTGAGTGATCTGATACCACACTGGGACTCAGACAGAATGTCCTTAGCGATAAAAGTGAATCTATTGAGCAGAATGAATGTGAAGATCTACCCAGCTATGGACGGAAGTGCAATGTCATGATAACTGCTGCAATCCAAGCTATTTTTCTTCTTTAATGATTCTTTTTTATACATGTCAGCTGGTATTTGTCAAGACCACATGCATTGTTTCTATCTGCTTAATGGCTTTCAAGGCCTCTTGATAAGTTGTTGGATGAGTTCTAATATTCACATTTTTAAAAGGATATTGAAAAGTTTGAAAGGATGCTGAAGAAAAGCCACAAAAATGATACAGAGGCTAAGGAAAATCTCATAGAGTAAGCTCTGCCTATATAGTTTATCAAAAAGGGGATTGAGAGGTGACTTGATTACAATGTATTAACACTGTCATGGGAAAAACTACAAGATAATTAAGGACTATGTAGCCTACAAAGAAACACATGTCAAGAACCAATGGCTGGAAGCTGAAGCCATACAAGTTCAAATTAGAAGCAAGGCACAGATCTTTAACAGTGAGAATAATTAACTGTTTGAACCACCAAGGGAAGTGATAGAGTCTTCGTCTCTTGAGGACTTCAGATCAAGACTGGATGCCTTTCTGGAAGATACATTTTAGTCAGGCAAAAGTTTATTTGGCTCAATACAGGAATAACTGGGTAAAATGTAATGGCCTGTTACATACCAGGTATCAGACCTCTTCTGGACTTTAACTCCCTGTATCTAAGAGAGAACAGTTACTCTACAGTAAGTGCTTTAAGAAAGCAGACAAGACTCCAGAAAAACCTGCAGCGAAGACTCCTGAGAAGACTCCAGATAAGAACCCTTCTAAAAGTCCAACCAAGAGCCCTTCAAAACATCCAGCAAAGTCACCTCAAAGAAGTTCTTTCAAATCAATATGATTGCTATTTACAATATAAATATAGTAATGTATTTATATTACTCATCTATAATTGAGTACAAAATTCTGGGTTATTTTTGGTGAAAATAGGGTATCAGGCCTTGGTTCAGGAACTAATCCCTCATTTATAACATTGTTTCCTATGGGAAAATCAGTTCCAACATTTAAACTTAAGACATAGTTTTCAGGAACCAATTATGTCATAAGTTCTTGATCATACTATAATGTAGCATAGATCCCTCAACAACTCTTCCGCTTCTGTTTTTGGAGCCCACTGAAGATGCACACTTCAGCTTGCCCCTGAATTAAGGAAGGGTTGCAGCTACACATCTTCATGGCCTGCATGTGGAAGCACAGTGCCCATGCACAGGCCTGACTAACAGTGCTACTAAAGATTACTGCCTCATAACTAATAAACCTGCTCCCCTCCAGTGAGATCCACAGTCACTGTAACCTCCAAAAGAGCCACACTCACTAGGGGCTGAGTAACCATTTTTGTCACTAGGTTGTTATCCACACTTAAAATATTTTTATGTGCATTTTAAGTAGACCCCTGCTTTTTACCTCTAGGTTAAATTTCATCTTGGCATAATACTTGTTGGCACATTTTTGCAGTGATCTAAACATTTCATTAATGTGCTCATCTAAGCATATTTGCAATACCATTTTGCACATGAAAACCAAGTCGTCACTCCCTTTTACCTCTTGCATGAAATATGGAGACCCAAAATATCTTCAGTTTAGACTGACCAAGTATTGAGAAGCTGCTATATCATTTCTGAGGTTTAAATGTTCATATGACAAAAAAGTTTCAGCAAGAATTTATATGTAATTCTCTAATATTTTGATTAGCAAAACATCTGTTTCTCAATCTGGTGAATTATTATGTTAAATTTTAAAATGTATATCAAACTTTTGTTGGGTTATAATAGAGCTGTATTCACAAATCAAAACTAATAGTTCTCGGGGACGGGCCCCAAGGTCACGGTGGGCCCGGGTATGGATCGGATCAGGCGGGATTAGCAGCGAGGAGTTAGAGCGGTTCGGGACACGTGCGGTTTCAAAACAAGGTGGTCTTTATTGGTTACTTACGCCCCAAGATGGTAAGGTGGCGTAGGCTGGTTCAATCTTAGGCTTGGTTACAATGGTACGAGAAACAAGAACGCGAAACGATGAACGATGAAGAAATGTGGACGATGCCGGGTCGGTAACGGTGGCGAAGAAACATGAACTGGAACGTGGAGAACTGGTGCCGTAGTCAATGCCAGAACAATGTTCAGTAACAGGTGATCGATACAAAGATGGGTGATAGTTAAGGCAAAAGTATGCCGTGAGTCCACAGTAGGGGGAGACCAGCGGAGCTCTGAAGCGAACCAGGGGTCTAGGCCTAAGAGGCTCTCCTGAGAGGCAGTCTCTGCAGTAGCAGTCTCTGCTCTCAGGTTGGGTCTGGTCTCCGCCGTGGGCGGAAACTTACAAGCCTTTTATATTAAACAGGTAGCCAATCAGGTAACCTTTTCTGTGGAAATTTCTAGTCAAATTATGTCATGCTTGGAGCAAGACTGGGCATGCGCATGGTAACAAGTCAGGTTGCCTCATGGCAGAGCCATGATTGACAAGCCTGAGGTCATACAGGGGGCACGTGCTGGGCATGCTTGTCAGCCCTCTGGGGATTTTCCATAGCTTGTCTGTGCATGTCAGTACTTAACCCTGTGTTAACCAGCACTGTTATCAAATTTGGTTCTGACAATAGTAAAAACATTATCATATTTTTCTGTCTTATTTAGATCCAGAAATATACAGAAATTGTTTAATATCCATGTTAGCTAGTGCTTTCATGTGGACAAAACTACTTGCTAAAATTTGTATTCTTTCCTACCAAGTAGAAATTATTAATGACTCATGTGATTATGGACTTGAAGGAACGGGTCAGCTGAATTTTTACGGGTTGTGAATGGGAACTGAGCAAGGATTTCTGGGTCCATATCTATTTTAAAGAAAATGTATATAAAGGTTCTTCTTTCAGGATCCCTGAAGTTGAAAGTAAATACAGTTCAGTGGAAGTCGTTTTCTGCCTTTATGTTGCTGAAATAGCCTCTCACTCATTTCAAGAAGAGTAAACTATGATCTATTTTCCCACTGTGCTTGCCAGTGTTCTATCCATTGTTAACCATTGACAGATATCATGTGATTATTGTTTTGTTTGTTTTCCAGCTGAAATAAAGATTTGTTTTAAATACTACCATGGCATTAGTGGAGCCCTCCGAGCTACTACCCCATGTATCACTGTGAAAAATCCTGCTGTGATGGTAAGTGCAGCCTTTCTGTCTTTTTGTAGCACATATGTAAGGAGATAATTTATACTGCCAAGCCCACATTACTATCAATGTCAGTCTCCCTGTTTTGCCACTAATTAGGATTTTGCAAACACTGAACTGACCTAATTAAATCCATCAAAGTCAGGACATGTTTTTTCAAGTCCTGTTGATGAAAAATGATGATAAAATGGCATTCATTTTTATTTTTCAGCTTATGATTTTGCCAAATTTTGACTTCAGCTTTGGGCTGGAATTGTCTTTGTTGGTTTTCTACCTCAGATTGAATCTTAGAATAATAGAGAAATAGGGCTGGAAGGGTCCTCAGGAAGTTATCTAGTCCAGACCTCTGCCCAAGTACAAATCATCACTATCTAAGCCATCCCAACCAAGTGCTTGTCTAACCTATTCTTAAAACTACACAATGAACTTTGTCAAAAACACCAAGATCACCCCAGCATGCTGCAGGTAAAGAGTGCAGATAGAAGTGCAGCTCTCGGGTCTAAGTCATGGCGATTCCTAGAAATTGCCATGAGTTAGATTTGGGGTGGGCAATTATTTGGGCCTGGAAGCCACATAGGCAGTTCTGGGGAGCTGCTGTGGGCCGGACAGCACCCGCCCCCTCCCCACCAGCACCATCCTGGAGCCCGTGTGTACTGTGGCTTCTCCACACCACTGCCAGGAGTGCACAGCCCTAGCCCTGCCCCCAGCCTGCCCTGTGCCCGCTCCTGACTCTTCCCAGCTAGAGCAGACCAGCCACAAACTGCGTGCACAGCCCCAACCCTGGCCCTCCCCACAACTGCTCTGGACTGCCTGCACACACTGAACATCAGCAGCAGCTGGACAGAAGCTGCTGCTAGTGCAGGGGAAAAGCGGTCCCTCCCTTTTGCTGCTGCTGGGCCCTTCTTTTTGCAGCTGCCCAGAGCCTGTGCCTGGGCTGCCCTGCAGCTTCTCTCCACTGCCATCACCACTGCCTCCAAGCTGCCCAGCGGGGCAGCAGTGGCAATGCAGAGGAGTCGCAGGCAGCCTGGGCATGGGCTCCAGTCAGCTGCAGCAAGAAGAGTCTGGCAGCAGTGAAGGGAAGGGGCCGCTTTTCCTCTTCACTGAGCAGCAGCTTCTGCCCAGTCACTGCTGCTGCTCAGAGTGGGTGGGCGAGTCTGGAATGAGCATGGAGCGGGCTAGGGGCAGGGCTGTACATGTGGGTCCCCACCAGTACCATGGGGCCGGGGCCAGTGGTGGTGGCAGCCAGAAGGAGCTGCCGCTGCCTGGGCTGCCGACAAAGGCAGTCCATCTGCAGAGCTGCCCCAGCCCCACTGCATGCCCTTGGGGTGGCAGGACTCACCATGGGCCGGATGGTTCCTGGGCTAGTTGGGACCAAGGGACCCACTACAGGTCAGACAAAGTCCCTTTGTTGGCCGGATACAGCCTGCGGGCTGTATTTTGCCCGCTCCTGAGTTAGACTAATCCTTGTGACCCAACAGATGTTAGCTGTTGGATCAGGAGGGTGGAGGACCACACAGTGAATTATCTGAGTATATTTTGAAAACTGTGCACTTTTGAGTCTGATTCTGCAAGGTACTGAACACCTTCAGTGTGATTTTATAATGTATCTTATAAGGGCTACTCAGCACTTTGCAGGATCAAGACTGTCCATCCTATTTTGTGTGTGTGTGTGTGTGTGTGCATGTGTGCATTACTTGCAAGTGTCCTGAATAAACCCTGCTGTGACACTAATTTAATGCTTATCATGAGCATTTTTTCCTATGGAAAGCTGTGTTAAGGGATGTATTTCTTCCATGATAGTATTTTTTTAAATTTGGGATTGCCTTTGTCTTCATTTTGTAACAGCTAAAACTCCCAACGGGGCAGCCCCTCTTGGCCAATCAGTAGTGAGGGGTGGGGCTACTGGGCCCCTCAGCCAATCAGCAGCAAGGGATAGGGCCACACAAGAAGACCACCTCCCTCACTCCCTGGTGGGAACCCTGCTCCCCCTAGTTTTTCACCACCCGACCTCTGTGCGCAGCCAGTAGAATCGTGAGGACAACTGATTGACAAGTATTTCCACCAATGAAGTGAAAAACAGGACTTTTTGCAGTCTGGTCCTCATTGAGAAATGGACACGGGACAAAGGATTTAAAAACAGGATGGTCCGGTATAAGACTGGACCAGTGGCTACCCTCAAATATATGAGGTTATATGTGAATATTATTTTGCTGTCTTTCTTTCAGTATTCACTTGATTTCTTTCACAAGTCAGTTCAGGGTCCCTAATGCTTTTCATACTCAAAATAACAGTACTTGTCCTGTATCATAAGTATATGTTATCTAAGCATATTCATATTTTTTTTTGCTGGGAGCACAGGATTCCAGCTAGTTGTGAGACTTTTCTATGATGGATTTAGTTCATAGTGGTATTTACTAAATACACCATATAGAACTATCTGGCAGCATTGTAGGACCTAAAACCTTTCAGTGTTTCCAGTGTGAAGCCGGAGGATGCCACATCCTGTTGGCGTGTTTCATAGTAACCCTGATATGTGGGTTATGTCAGTTATGACAGAGATGAGACATGCTCAGGCTTTTTATCTGTGGTAAATCGTTTTCTGCTGGAAAGAAAACAAGTCTATTCTCTGCTCAGATTTTTCCCAGATGAGATAGAACATCGCCTCTCTAAATAAGTTTTCTACATTCTCTGTTTACCATTAGTGGAATCAAAACAAAGAATTGAAATTGCTCTTCTGTTTATATTGAAATCAAATAAAAATGGATCCTGACCAATTTTATGTATTGGGGTTGGTATCTGTTTTACTGACGACTTCTTGGCAGTGAAACTGCCACAGAACAGATAGGTGTAAGGAGATTACATAGTATAATACATAGTATAATTAAGGGTGTGTGTGAGTGGGGTACCACCCCGGGTGCTGATTTAGCATCAGTACCGGGTGCATTCTGCTGCTTGGAGCACCTTCCCCCTGTCCTGGAAGGTGGAAGCCTCACTATGCAGGGCATCAAAATTGCTTGTTCTGCCTCTGAATATATTGTTCATTTAAAGCTGAAATTCGTGGAGGCATATTTTCTGTAAATATAATAATTTACATAATAATTGGGTGCTACACTCTGTCATTTAGCTATCAGTAGTGTGGTCTAAACTGTGACAATGACTCAGCACACAAAATATACTTAGAATCAGCAAGTTCTTTTCTATAATGAATAACATTTATAACAAGCAATCGATACGAGCATGAGCCAAAAACCGTAAATTGAAAACTACACAGTTCCTGCGACCCTTGATGTCTAGACTAACCTTGCCAGTGGCATTTCCCTGTTTGCTTCGCAAGTATGTGCGCAAAGGAGAGGAAACTGAGCTGGAATTAACCCACTGTTTTTTGACAGCCAGATCACTTTTGGTGCATGCTGACACAGTTTATTTAACCGTATAAAGTCATTTGGAATAGCAGTTTCCTAGTCAATGGGAAAGATGATGAAATTTAGGACACTACCTTGAGAAATGCTATTGTGTACGCAATGGTGAATCATAGCTGTAATAGTAAGAAAAGGATATGACCTGAAATATAAACAGTGCAACTTCCTCTTACTGTACATCCTTTCTGAAAATCATCAATGCCAATGAGACCTGAGACAATCAGTGTTATCACTCTTTTTTCATCATTTTCATATTTAGCTAGGATTTTGCTAGAGAAAATCCTTAGATATCTAGTACTGATTAATTCTTGCTGTTGCTTTGTTTTTTATCTAATTATGGTATGCATATGAAAAACAAAAACTGATATAGCAATATTTGTAAAAATGTTAAGACTAAAGTAGTTGAAAAGATGGCTGTTATATTTTCAGGTGATATAAATCACAGGTTTCCCCATTTCCCTACCCCAGTGTTTCAAAATTTCAAGACCAGACGGGACTTTAACCGTCATTTATACAGGAGATCTGACCAAGACAGGCCACTGAACCTCATCCACTGATTTCTTCATCAGTCCCATAACTTCTCTTTGGCTTTCAGTGAGATGTCCAAGGGTGATCCAACCTATTGGTAATTGCTGCTGATCTGTGGTATATTTCTATAAGTTTACACACCCACTATGGTTATATTTATGGAAGCAGGCCACATAATTTCCACTGCATTTCCTTTTATGCCCTCATTTACATGCATTTTTTCTTAATTTATTTTTATTTATTTTAAATGTAAAACAGGATATGTAACTTTCTGTTTTATTGCAAACATAAACCAGTGCACAACCTAAAGTATGTTCAAGTATATCGTTTTGTGAAATGTTATCATCTGGTTAACACGTCTGGAGTCTTCCTTCACCTTGCCTTAGAAATTCATTTTCATTAGTGTGGGGAAACTTGCCTGTTCTCTGCTGGATGAGAGGATAGTGTTTCCTTTTGGAACCATTTCTCTGACACTCAACTGATCCCTTCAACTGAACTGTAAACTAAAGGTCCATCTTTGTGATAAGTAACACAAAAGGATGCAGACTATGCATGGGAACAAGCAAAATCTTCTCCAAAATATTGTGTTCATGAAAGAGACAATAGGACAGATTTAGTTTTAACAGGCAAAACTTCAAAAAGCAAAACCCAGATAAAACAAAAACAAAACAGAAATTCCTCATCAGGGAAAATTGAAATTCACTTCAGTTAGTCTGAGTTTCTCAAGCATTGCACTTAGGAATCTGATGGGGTTTTTTTGTCGCAAAGGGTTTTATTAATAAATCTTAATTCTTTTGATAACTTTGTCTCAATGTCTTCAGTGACCCATGTATTTTCTGTTGAACAATGAATGGCCCACCTGTAGAAAGCAATGAAGTGCTGTATAATGTCTGTAGTTAGTTCACACTTAAGACTTAAATGCCAATGCACATTTAGTTGTGGAGAAATCCCAACACTTATGAGTGAGCTTTTTCATTTCCTTTGCGTGTGCAGTGGTTTATATGCTATGTATGATCTCTAGGGATCCTAGAAATCTGTTTGCCATGGAAAAACATGGAATTTGTGTTTTTACAGAGAATCTTTAGAATAGCTGGGAAAAAATGTTCCTGAAAATAAAATGCTGGTTCCTATGGGAGCCAGTGGTTCCTATGGGTGCTGCAACAGCCTGCTGCAGGGGAAAAGCCACTGGCACACAAGACAGCGGCCAAGATGGCAGCTACCCTTTCCTCCCTGTGCCTCTGATTGGCAGTGAGGGCTGCCCATTGTGAGGCCCCACACCTCTCTGCCAGTTACCAGTGATGGGCGGCAGCTGCATGAACGGCAGCTCTTTTGTCCAATCAGCAATAAGGGGCAGGGCCACTGCAAGGACCTCTTGGCCAATCAGCATTGTGGGGGGCTTGCCACAGAAAAACGTGGATTTTTGTGTGTGTGTTTTATTGGACAATTTTGCTTTTTTTTAATCATGGAAGACCAGGATCCCTAGTGATGTCTGTATTGTACTAGGGAATAAATATGGGAGGGCAAACAGGAGGGGCAATTGGACTGAGTCACCAAGTGTTTTCTGTCCCCTAAACAGCTGAAGGCTTAATTCTACAGGGCATTCCACACATCTTCAGTCTTCCACCCATGTATATGTATGTAGGTGGAGGACTCTCAAGATTTTGCCTACTACTATTTGTGACGTCTCAATGCAACATTGAGACGTCACAAATAGTAGTTGGCATCCTAGACATCCTAGACATTTCAAAGAATCTGGGGAGGACAGAAATGAATGCCAGTGCCTCCCGATCATCTTTTTTGCCTGTGGTCAGCTCTTTTTCCAGAGTACTATTTTATACTTGCATAATTGTCCTCATGTGTATATAAAAAAAATGAAAACTGTAATGATACATGATGCACTTTTATTTTTCCCCCTCTTCAGATGGGGATGGAAGGCACAGAGGAAGGTGCTTCTGGTCAGCATTCTCGGAAATTAGTCAGCTTTACGCTTTCAGGTAAGACTTAATATTTTTTATTTAGCACTTCTACTTTATCAGTAGAAGCTGAACTGAAACAGATTTTAGTAATAAATGTGCATTTATCTGTGTTATTTCTATTCATATACACACACACTATATATATAAAACAAATGTGGGGGTTTCAGAAGTATCTTGCATTAATCTGCAACACAAAGCTATATCTTGGGTGGATTTTGATTCATTCTAATTTTCAATTGAACAGAAACTATTGTACAAAAATGTTCAAAGTTGGAATTGGCCTTAGGAAACAAATAAAAATCTTTCCCCCCACCACCTGAACACCCTCCCACTTCCCCTGTGGAGCTTTCTGCCCCAGTCCACCCCCAGATCAGCGAGTCTTAGTGGTTGGTGGGGGGAGGAAGAACAGAAGGAGAGTGAGTGTGCTGGTGAGGATGGAGGGAAAGAGAGGAGGGTGTTGAATGGGAGGAGATACTTACCTGTTTTGGGAAATTAAGAAAAGTTCCCAGCTGCTGCTCCTACAGTGTGGCCACAAATGGGTATGACTGTACCACTGCACACTCTCTGGATCCACCCATGCGCATTGGCCATGCAGGTATGCGGCTTCAGGTACACACCCATTGTGGATGCGCAAGTGGGTGTAAGTCATGAAAACATAGTAAGACAAAAACCCATAACTGAAGAGTGTGGAAGGAGGAGGAGGAAGAGGAAGGGGGTCCTCCCATATTTTAGCCCCAGTAGCTGAGCAGGTCCAAGAAGAATTCCTGAACCTGGGCTCTAGGCTCCTTACTTAGAGGAGTTTGAACCTTTGTCCCTTCGATATCCAGCATAGCATTCACCACTCCACCACACATAAGGCATTATCCAGGCCCTTTTCCAGCATTCCTTTTAAATCTGGAAGTCAAGAAAGGGAGCTGTGTAAGACCAGGAGGAAATGAACAAGCTGGAGGGTGCATTGATCAGTGAGATGGGTGCAGCTCTGGGTGAGAGCAGGCCTTAGGTTCTGTCCTTGACCCTTGCTCTCAGTGAAATTCCCCATCACACTGCTTGCCATGGATTTTATCCAGTAACTAGTAAATGCAAACTGTAATGGCTCAGCTTCCAAGAGGGTATGTTTAATGCCAAACACGTGGTATGGTTATTGGAGCACCATACTAAAAAGTCAGAAAGAAAGGGTTCAAGCCCTGTCTGGGCAAGTGACTTAGGTCTTCTATTTCTTGGGCAAGTGCTTTAACCATTTAGCTATTGGGGCTAAAAATGGAATAGCTTTTCAACTCCTCCATTTTTCTAGACTGGCCAAGCCAGTGCATGGACACAGTGCAGGGGTAACAGAATCACATCTTGTGCATGAATGGCAAAAATAACACTTACACAACTGGAAAACTGCCATTTAGGGACATACAGTGTAACATCATCCCACCATTCCTCTTTAGCTGCTTTTGTCTTGTGTAGGAGCAGATTCTAGTGGCTTGAAGAACATAATTTAATTGAGGACATGTATATGTTGAAAGCAGGCCAGATTCGCTAATTTCCGGCAAGTGTGATATTTGATACATCTTAAAAAGAGAAGTCCGGAAACATTCAGTGTGGCCTATTGAAGATATTTCTCAGATTGAGTAATAGTAGGTTTTCTGCAGATAGGTACAATCTAATGAAGTACCAATCTGATCACTGAGAGAGAGAGAGAATTAGAAAGTCCAGTGATGCTGATTATGAAGTCCTGTAAAATTATTTTTATATTAGTAGTACACAAAGAGTTAAATTATTAATACACAGAATGACTGAGGACCAGATTGTGCCATCTCTACAGCACATTGGCAAATCCAGTAGTAAATCTTGAAGAACATGTTAAGACTAGAATACATGGAAACTGCCTTTTGGAACAGGCAGTTAGTGGGGATGAAACCACAAGGTCTATTCATAGGGTGACCATATAATTTTTAAGGCAATCTTGGACACTGCCCTTCCCATCCCCTCCACTGGTGGCACTGCTGCAGGCAGAGGCAGGCGGGCAAGGGTGCAGGGCATAGTCCAGCTGAGTGGCATGGTATGAAGGGTGGGTGGGCAGGCAGCTGCCACTGCTGATGTGGTGTGGGAGCAAGCAGGGTGGACTAGAGGAGTGCCCAGCTCAGCCTGCCCCCCACCTCCAGCCACTGCTCAGGAAGAGCCCTGTCTCTGCCTGCAGCAGCCGATTCTGGGACTCTTCTTACAGTTTTCACCAAGCTGGGATGCCAGGATGGCCTATGAAATCCAGGAATGTCCCGGATAAACTGGGATGTATGGTCACCCTATCTATAGAAAGAATTGTACAAAACAATAGGGCATATTTGCACCATGTCAGTACGTAGGGAGCAGCACTGTCAAAATATATCTACCTTCCCTTTCCTGCTCTGTTCATGCCAAATTCAAAAAAATGTAATGCAGCTATTTTTTTGGTGCATGCCGATGGTACTCTCAATCTTGAGCATGCTTGGTAGAGCAGCTATGCTACTTCTTTTTGTCATTTGGTACACACACAGCAGGATTAAATGGATGGGGTGTGCCATGATAGTGCTCATGGGAGTGGTCCATCATATTGTAGACAGGCCCACAAAACTAATCCTATAGGTTACCTACAGGATTATGTCACTTTATATGTTTTAGTGAATGATACATTCTAAGAGATTCTGGAAGTATTCTGCGTCATGGAAAAAGATGATTTTTGTCTTTGGTGAGGGGAACATCACTTCTATCTTATAAAACAGAATTATTTACAATACTGGTTTTTGTTAAGTGACTGAAAGATGCTGCCTTCCTGTGTTTAGCCACAGAAGATGAGGCATAGGACTAGTACAGTTAGCTAGAAAAGAATCTTTTGGCTAACATACTTGAAGTAGAAGTGCACCGATACATCGGTTCGATATTGGATCGGTACCAATATAAAGAAAATTATCTATGTCAGATATTGGCCTTAAGTGGTCAATAATTGGGCCGATAAATGTCCTTGCTGCACGCAGCTGCAGCGCAGCATGTAGGCAGTGAAGACACAGCCCACAGCATGGAGAGCTGCCTCCAGCTAGTTATCCTCCTTTTGCAGGAGACAGACTATAGAGCCCAGCTTTTTCTTCCGCCCAGGCGGGGGTCGGATTTGAAAATCTACAAGGTCCCTTCCGACCCTACTTCTATGATTCTATGACTCTCAAGTGATATTGAAATATAAACATAAATCATGACAAATCAAATGTTTCTTGTTTCAGTGATTCCATTACTCTCCAAATCTGGCACAATCTCTCTTAAGAAGACTGCTTGGGTGTCTTTACACGTGCTGCACAGTGTGGGGAAGGGTTAGCATTTTAATTAGAGCACCTCTTGGGAGCCGCTCTAATTAAAACACCTGCATCTTCTTGTGTATTCAGCATCCTGTGCTTCAAAATAGTGGTGGGGGGGCTTTAACTAAAGCTGGTTCAATGAGCTTTAATTAAACAGGCCCCACTGCCATTTTGAAATGGGGGGACTCTGAATACATATGCACCCGAGGCTGCTGGAGCATTCATATTAGAACACTCTAGCAGACTCTTTTAATCAAATGGAGCAGGAGTCAGGCACATGTATAGGTGTCCCTAGAATATCTTATGTAATGTATTAATGCAAGATTCACTTTTTCAGCAGAAAAATTAAAAAAAAATTTTTAATTTCTTAAATATTTTCCTCACATTTTTCTTGGATCCTTTTACAAAGCAACTGCTGTCAATAGACCACAAAGGACCAGAGATCAGGCATCTAGTCTAGCCGTTATACTGAGTCTATAGTCTGTCTCCTGCAAAAGGAAACTATTACTCCAACTTTGCAGCATAGAGATGATGTAAAAATGGTCTAGCACAGGGGTGGGCAAAATGTGGCCTGCAGGACCTCTAAAAAATTTAGACAGTTAATATTTATCTGTCCCTGGCTGCCTGTCATGTGACCCTTGATGGCTTGCCAAAACTCAGTAAGCAGCCCTCTGCCCAGAATAATTGCCCGCCCCTGGTCTAGCAGAACCTAGGCTGGCCTTGATAACTTGCTTAATATAAAGGAGGATGTTTCAGGTGCTAGACCTGAGGAACTGTAGAGAACAATGAAAACAAATTTAGGTATCTCCCCATGGCCATTGTGAGTATTAAACTGTGCTCCATAAGGGTTTCCTCCTTATCAAGTTCTAACATTGTTGCAAAAAAAAAAAAAAAAAAAAAAAA